AAAATAGTCTCAGTAAAACTGTTATTACATTATTATATTATAATATTATTACAATTTAAACTAACCGTTTTCTATGTGAATATCTGTTAAAAGTCGTTATTTTTGTTTTCTTCACATACAAAAAGTATTCTCGTCGCTTCATAACGTTACGTTACTGACGAACGAAGCTTTTACGGGTTTGGAACGACATGGGGGTAAGTGATTAATTACAATTTTCATTTTGGGGTGGAGTATCCCTTTAACTCACAATTCTGAGTGTTCTCGTAATTGCGACTTCATACAGTTTTACATCTTTCCATTCTGACTTTTTTCTCCCACTAATAGACACACACTTGTGCCGCTCAGTTTGTGAAATTGATCTACACAAATCACGCAGGACCTGACAGCTTGTTGCGCACACAAACTCGATGCGGCCTCCATCTGTAATGATCCACAGCGCTGTGATTTATGGAGGTCAACAGAAGCACAGCTATTCAGATCAGTCAATCAGGTCACCCAGAAGACTTTTTTCTCCCACTAATAGACACACACTTGTGCCGCTCAGTTTGTGAAATTGATCTACACAAATCACGCAGGATCTGACAGCTTGTTGCGCACACAAACTCGATGCGGCCTCCATCTGTAATGATCCACAGCGCTGTGATTTATGGAGGTCAACAGAAGCACAGCTATTCAGATCAGTCAATCAGGTCACCCAGAATGCACTGCAGCAGATCATCATCACAATGCCAATGCTAGAGCTGAGCGCACACATTCAGAGACACACAGCGTTTGTTGTTAAATGATCAGCTACAACACACAGTTCACTGAGATCAGGGAAACCACAGAATCAAAAAGAAGCATGCTTAAAAACAACACTTATTACAGAAGGAATATACTTAAGTGTGTACTGAATGTAGACATTTAACTGCATGTTATTTGCAATTAAATGAAAAAAAAATTTTTTTTTTACATTTATATTAAATGCAATTAGCTGAACTTTAGAGTGTTTTTGACCCACATAAGTCTTTATATGTAGTTTCATAATTACTTTAATTGTATAATTACATGATGTTGCAGTTTAGTGCATTTAAAATATATTAACTAATATCAAATAACACACTACAGTTAATTGTTAATTAGCACATGTAGTTTGTTTAAATCAGCTGAGAGACTTTTTTTTTCTAATTTTCTGTTTTCTGATAATCAGCAGTGCACACAGAACAAAAAGGAAAACTCATATGATCTCAACTAACAGGAAATCAAACAAACAGTACACTATGTAGTGCATACTAACAGCGAATGCTGAACAGTAGCTCATAAAGCAGTCTGCAGCCCTGAAGATTCAGAATAATGAAGTGAGCATACTGTGCTCGCAGTGTGAGCAGATACGGAGGTGTTCATTGAGACGCAGTGAGCATCTGCCGCCCATATGACCGCTGATCTCAGACCTGCTGCTAAATCTGATTGGCCGCTCACCTGTAGAGAGCCTCCTCACCATATGACACCGATCCGCTCGAACCGTCTGCTCACGTTCACTACAGATCATCTGTCCAATCATCAGCGAGAGGATGTGAATCGAACATATCTCACAGCTCCTGTAATCAATCGCAGGATCCGCCCCCAACCATCAGAGCGACGCCACAGCCAATCAGATGCCAGCTGACGTTTGTGAATGACGTCAAAGCAAAGCGGCATTTTACTGATCTCAGAGACGCAAACACATCTACAGCTCATTTATATGCTGATGATGACTCATGTTTATTCATGGCATTTGTCATAACTGTGTCAGCATATTGCTGCAAACACACACTTCTTATACTTCTCTGTGTCCGCTGACAAGAAAACACTCACACACACACAC